TTTTCTATCTTTGAATAGAATAGTTCACAAGGAGTTGTGACATTGGTCTCATGCTAGGACAATCTCATTAAAAGCAAAGAGAGTATTGATCTTGTAATACCAAACTAAGAAATAAAGATAATCAAAGTTGTTCATTGTGCCTTAAGACTTAGAAGAAATCTGCTTTCTATACATTAAATAACCAACTTAAGAAATCTTGTTTTCTTTACAAAAGATATATGTCTAATACTAACCTTGCAAAAATCCTATAAAATCATTGTAGTAGAAAAAAAAGATATAAAAATTGGTCTTTACAAATTATCATCTCTTATTAGAAATCTTAAGACTCATAATCTAGCAGTCCTTGTTTTTTTTCCCAAAAAACTCTCTATTAGAACTCCTATTACAATTTGAAGCCAATTCTACATGTTTTAATCTACCAATAGCTCCAATTTTTAGAATAGATCCAAATTCAATATATATATATATATATATATATATTGAAGATTCTAATGAAGTGTATCAATAAGATAAGTACACTCAAATAACTTTTTAAAAGCAAGCAAAATATTGAGCATTAAGACCATTGGAAATCATCTACTTAGATTTATGCAGCGTTATGCTAGTATCTTCTATTGGTGGTACCAAATACTTTGTAACCTTTATCAATGACCACATTTGTAAAACTTAGATATTTTTTTTGAATTACAAGAATTAGACTTTTGAAAAAAAATTCATCTTTAAGAGCCATATAGAGAACCAAAGAAGTCCTCAAATCTTAATTCTTAGATTTGTTAAAAAAAATAGAATATACATTGTTGGATTTTTTCTTATTTTATAACTTTCATGGCATTTACAAGTAAGCATATACTTCTTACACTTCTTAATCGAACAAAGATTCAGAGCAAAAGAATAGAATGATCTTAGATAAAGAATAAAGCATGCTTTTTAGAAAAAAATTCTAATTTATTTATAGGCCAAAACAACAAAAACAAAAATGTGCCTTTTCAATAAATCATTAATAAAGACAAATTTAGGAGCATCACTATATAAGATATTCTTTTAAGTAAAACTAAAACTACTTTATTTTTGATCATTTTATTATTTAATATATATTCATCTCAACAAAATCCAACAAAAAAAATTTATAGACTAAAGCTAAACAACAATCTTTATTTGCTATGATAAAACTATCAAAGCATACTATATTTTTAATCTTTAAACTAAAAAATTGATTGTGATAAGGAATTTCATATTTAATGAGTAGTACTATCTTAAGTACTCTTTTCAAAATCTTGATAATTTTTTTGAATAATTGGCGACAACTATGTGGCAACATTAAGCTGAATTATTGAACTTTCTGTTGCAAAGCTTGCAAGATTTCTTAAAATAATTTGCAAAAATTTTACTAAAAATTATGACAACATCTAAAAAAAAGATATTATTACATATCACAATAATAATATCTCTTTTATAGCATGATGTCAAGGCAATCTTATCTTCACTATGTATCACTTTGACAATCTTGACATTATCCAAGTCTAATCCATATCCACATTCCAAAGCAATCATATAACATCTTCTACATCTAAATCTAAATATTGGCCAATAAATAATATCCTTGATGACTCATCTTCATTTCATGACAAACCTTAGCCTTTAATTACAAACCAAAGTACAAAATGATCATCATCATTGTTTTTGTCAATAACATCACTACTACTTTGTATATAGCATTGCACCAACCTACTAATATATTGATAAGATTATTATGTCAAGAATGTGATTATCTTGCTAAATCTAAAAACTTTTTCGAAGGTAATTGCTAACTCTTGTTAAATCACAATAATGAAGGATGAAATTGAATCCATCTATAAGAATGATATATGAAAACTTATTTGTCTTTTCTATGACAAATTAGTAATAACAACAAAATAGATCTTTAAATCTAAGCTACAACCTAATAGAACAATCAATCAGTAAAAAACTAGACTTCTTACTTGTATATTTGGAAAAAAATATGATATAGATTTTGACAAAATCTTTGCACTAATTATAAAGTGAAGCTACATTTATATAATAGTTATCTTAGCTTTCTAACAATGATGGAAATTCATATATATATAGATGTTAAAACTTTTTTTATAATAACTTAAAAGAAAAAAACATACATCTTATAATTAAAAGAATTCTTATAGGTTATAAGAAACACCTTGTATAATGCTTTTATAAGGCATTGTATGGGCATTGCCAAGTACCATGTACTTATTATAAAAAGATTCACTAATTGCTATAGGGACATTGATTTTTAATAAGCGCCACAAATCAAAACCTCTACAATATTAAAGATCAATTTAAAAATATCCTAATCCTTCCATTCAACGTCAATAATTTATTATTTATAAGTAGTTGTTTAATATAGATTATTTGATTTTATTAGTGGCTAAAATAAAAGAGTTGAAATATCATTGCTTGGAGAAAGAATTAGAGTCATATATCTTACTTTTGAATTTTGTGTAGTCTTTGAAAAAATCTTCATGTTTTAAACTAAATACATTGAATAGTGCCTTGAAAGCTTTGAGCTAGGTAATAGTCAACCAATAACTAAACCCATAATCAAATAACCTAGATTAATATTAAATACATGAGAAGAAGAAGTTGATGCCATGTTATATTAGAAGCATGTAGATAAACTTATTCAACTCACCAACAATCACTACAACATTACTGTAGTAGTAGGAATGTGCAATAGATATATGCAAAAACCTCAACTTTTATACTCACAAGTAATTTAGATGATTTGGAGGTACTTCAACAATACACAAGACTATAGAATTTTTTTTAACAAAGAAGAGCAACCAACCTTTATATAACATATTGACTTTAATTATGCAAGAGACATTAAGAATAAAAATTAACAACATGCTTTATCTTTCAATTTGGAAGTAGCCCAATCTCTTGGCATTCAAAATGACAACCAATATTGGCACTCTCAAGTGCTAAGGCGTAATACAAATTACTATGTAATGCAATAAAAGAATCTATTTGAATCAATATATTAATAATGGACCTAAAATTCAAGGAATATGCTTCTATCTCAATATTTTGTACTGATGAAAGTACCATCAAATTCATCCACAACTTTATCTTCCATCAATGTATAAAACAAATATCTTTACATCACCATTATACAAGAGAGAAAGTCAAAAGCAAAGGGATTCAAGTCTCCTTAAAATCCTCACATAAGCAATTAGTTGATTTATCTACAAAATTACTAGGTATATTATTATTTGAAAAATTTAGGAAGAGAATACATCTAGTATGAGCTAAGCTTATAGACAATCAATTAGCTTATTAATTAAATTTTTAAAGAATTATGCTCATAGAAAATTAGAACAAAACTTTGCAATCTCTTCTCTAATTTAAAAACCTTAAACTTTGCTGCAACAAAATCTTTGACTTCTTTTTTATAATCCTCCTACAAAAAACAAACACCAAAGTAATATCTATAATAAACCATATAAAATTTAGACAACCTATTTCTAGCTCCACACATTGTGTTCTACTATTACATACTCCATTATACTCAATCAATGACAACAAAATATATGACATAATTAAAGAAATTTCTTGAAGCTTTATAGAAGCACCATCTTGTTCACCAATAAGTCTAAGAAAAATTTGATGCTCTACAATACTTACTGATATACTCTCTAGGCTCAAAAGAAATACTAAGAAGAACTAAATTAGAAGAAAGAAACTACAACTAAAAGTACCTTTGTACAACTACTAAATATTATCCAACTTTGTACCATTGTTTATTCTTAAGGATAATAACCAATTATAGTTTAGAAGTTGAAAGAAGGTGTCGACATTATCAACATTTGCTTTATAATTTGATAATTTAATCATACACCCTATCTACAACAAAGTTGTTATAGAAACTTTGTTTGTATTTACTATTTTTACCATCAACTTGTACTAATATTAGTATATTAAAGCTTGACTTGTATTATGTAATATTTATTCAGTAAAGAGTATAGTTTATTAAGTCCAAAAAATATCAATTTCTAAAGTCTAGGCATCTTAAAGCACTTAAGGAGTTTTGGTTGAGTAAGTTTTGATCCAACAAGATCCATCAAATATTATATGAAGCCACCTTGCTTAAGAAAGAGATACCTCTTGTGGCCAAATAGTGTTCCAAAAATTCATTCTTATTGTACTAAGTGCTTTTTAGAAAGAAGCTCAATCATGATTTGAAGAAAAAACCATACAAAACAAAGAGTTTTGATATGCATATACATATAAGTAAATAGCAAATAGAAAAATAAATTTCTCAAAATCTATTGAACAAGATGTCCAGAGATAAAATATGATAGCATAACATTTTGAAGTTGATAATCCTCCCAATTTAATGCTTCATCTTTTATTGCTTGGCCTAAAATAAAAAAATCCTCCATAATAATCATGAATCTCACCTTCAAGTTCCAAAATTTTGTATTAATAACAATATATTAATCCAAATTATACACAAAATAATAATTACATAGAAATGTATTAAAAATAATTTATGCAATATGATATATCAAAAGATGTAATAAAAAGATAAAGATTTGAACTAAACACACAAAAAAAGGCCAATTGTGAGGGTTTTACATTAGATTTTGAAAACTTCATACCATTATGCACCTATATTCTTAAGCAGTTTATATAAAAATCATACATGATTGAAAATATGAAGAACTATGTTACTTTTAAACCATTTTGAAGAACAAAGAGCAGACTGAGCACAAATGATGCCTTAAAAAAGCACAAACCAACAGATCACTGTGTTGAGCATGCATATGAATAACTCCTACCATGGCTCCACCCCTTAATGCCTTAAATTTTTTTACTGATATAACAATTAAACACATTTTGACTAACAGTTTGTTAAGCCACACCACCAATCTTTTCAAAAACAAATGGTTTTTAACAGAGTTCAAGGAGTCATGTTTCACCATGACTGACCACACCACCAATCTTTTCAAAGACTAATGGTTATTAATAGAGTTCAAGGAGTCATGTTTCACCATGACGGAAATAGGATGATGAATTTGATCCTCAATAACTGCCATCAATCTGTAAAAGTATACCAGCTCTTCTTGAAGAGCAGCGCAAAAGGCTTATCCTATTGTACCAATTGCTTTTAATGGCTTGCTATCAAGGCTTTATTATTGTCTGACTATACTTCATTAAAGCTCAAAAATTGAAGCAAGATCACTTACACATACATAAACGGTGCCAGATTTCTAATGTCTTGAAATTATGTAAGTGTAAAATGAAGTAAGTCACGAGACATTAGCACTTTCCTTTTAAGATTCTAGAGACCCTATTCTACTACAGTTTTTAACACTACCGCTAGGATCCATCCTAGTCATATTTCAACCGCATCAAAACCATAAGTGTATTGCACTGTGTGAGAAAGTAGCTATTCTGGCAACCTGTTGCTGACTTGTGGCCTCCACAATCTCCAAATTTTCAGTGCTACACGATGTCCCCATTCAGTGTGATGGCTTCCTATATTTCCAGATAACTTGGACAATCACAAAATAAAACAAAACACCACAAAGTATGTAACACGCAGAACACCAAAATCCCACTTGAACTGACACAAATTCAATCTGACAGATGAACCCCAGTAAGATACGTTGTGACGCCAACTACAGAGGATATGCTTCTGCCCAGATCATAATCAAGGTCGGGACATACAAAATTCGATTCGATAAATTTATACTACAATCATTAAGTTAAATTTTGTTAAAAATTAAGTTAATATTTAAACATTAGGATTTCTTTTTGCTATCATTCACACATTAACATGCAACAACATGGAATTAAAAATACCTGCAGAGGATGCAGCCCAGCTTGAAGTTCTCGATTCTGCCTATCGTGATCGTCACCCTCCCCACCACACCAATCCTTCCTGTCACCCTCTCCCTCCTTCGCTAAACGAGTAGCAGCAACAGAAGACAAGGGAAGCAGGGGACGCCGATCATCAAAAACTGGCTCCGTATTCGTAATTCCCAGTGTCACAGACGGAAGGATTGCGGACGCACCATCTAATGTCGAGTCTGAATCATTCACCGCGCGCACGCTGCCACTGGTGGAAGCATCTTCAGCTTCCGTGGTGGGTACTCTCCTTCATCTTTCTCAACTCGGCATTAGTAACAGGCAACAATGGAGAGATCGTAAGCACACAATCCTGTGTATCAAAATTCCTTCCCAAGTGCAGTTCGACAAGCCTTCGGCGACATAAAATAAGCGCGGATGATTTCGAATTTTGATAACAGGACGAGAGCTGGGTTTCCAGTCTCGGTGGTAATTAGGATGGATGATAATTAATTTTGGTCAAGATTCTCTCTAATATCAAAATAAAATAAAATCTTGATCTTTATTAATTGCTTAAGAAGATATCTACCTTCAAGCTGCCTAGAACTCATTGTGTGTATATAAAATTAAATCCTGTATGTATCTCTTAAAAATTTAGTGACTTTGATCTTTGTCCATAGTACATATAATATTACTAGTATTTATGAGCCTTAAATTGTAATTTGTCAAATCAAACATATTTATTTCTTGCAATTCTTGCAAATAAAAATTTAAAACATCAAACCAATTATTCTAATAGTTACCTACATAATTACATATAAATTCTTGATGCTTTTGAAAGCTTCCAAATGACAACATATAATGCAATTTTTAGGTCAAGTTAGGAAGATTCATTGGAATTTGATTCCCATCCATTCCGCAAAAATATATTGTAATGCAAAACCACACAAATAATTCATATATTTTGTAATTTGATTTTATTATACATAATAAAGAAGATTACTTATACCTCTTGAGAACATTACAATCAAACAACTACTTCATTATAATATATGAAATGAGAAAGCTTTCTGGTAAATCATATAAAAAACTAATTCCGTAGATCTAATACTTTAATGTCTATATTGGACTAGACCAACCATATTAATCATATTGCAAGTAGGAGCCAATTGTAAGATAGATCAAAATTAGCCTTTAGGATGTAGACAATGATTTGATTTCAAAAACTTGAAAAATCTTATTTTTAGGTTTAATAAGGACAACTAAGCTCAAAAGTAAGGAAGACAAATATAAGGTCACTTTTTGTCCATATATTAAAATTTTGAAGTGATAAACACATAATTTCTCTAAATTTTATATTCTATAATTTTTTTCTTAGGTTAAGCAATGTTTTTAAGAAATAAGCCACTACCAACTTTGCAACTTATGCAAAAACATGGTAAAATATATCAGAATAATTGATAAGAAGAAATTTCATTGTATTAACTACTCAAAGTAGTTTTTTTAATATCAAAGTGGATTAAGCTATATAATCAATTTCAAAATTATAAAGCAAAAAAAAAAAAAAAAAAAAAAATCAATATAAAAATTATTAAGTCAAAAGTCTTACATCTAATAATTAAAAAACTTAAAGAATATTTTAAATCCACCACTATATTTGTAGATCTGTAAAATAAGAAAGTAGATTAAATCAAAAATCACAAAATCCTACCTATTTATGAAGTCAACTTAAAAGAATAAAATCTTCAATATCTATAAATCTATATATTTTAAAAATAATTTAATGACATATTTAGGATGAATAAATTTCAAATAGACTAAATATTATTTTCAAATCTCTCAAAATTTCTACAATAAAAAAATCAAAACATTAGAGTCTAAGTTAAGGTTGATATATTTTGCAAACTAAGAACTTGCAAAGTAAGTTAGTTAAACCATTAAAATTCTATACAACAAAAATGAAGAGGTAGAGGAGATATGTCCAATCAAAATCTAAAAATAAAAGAATAAAAAACCTGACACATTCATGTAATTCCAATTCCTAAATCTTAAATCTTTTTTATAATAGGATTGTAGATAGAAGTATAGGAAGGGTCATATTAAAAAAGAAAAAAACCAATAGTAGTAGATATTAGAAGAAAGAAAGATTGTATTAAGATTGTATTGGAAGAATTCATTAGTTTATTAGATAATATAGTAAAAATTGACATGATTATGTAAAATCTATTATATAAGTTTAGAATATTGATTATATGCTTTTAAGTTATTTTTACATATAATAATATAAGAAAATTAGTCTAAATATCATAGCTTATAATCACAACATACACATATTTTTATTTAAGTTATATATTTTATTATTGTGATATAAACAAATCTATGTGATTTTATTTATTTATTTATTTTTATATAATATATAAAGGATAATTTCATAAATTTTAAAATTTCATATTTCATAGGAATTTTAAAGATTTTAAATATACCATTAGAATCAAAAGTATTATAAATAAATAGGTATGTCAAATCAAAATTTTAAAAAGATAAAGCTAAAAATAAATTAACAAAAAATCACCAAGTTTAAGATCTTATATCTAAAAATTAAAAAAATTATAGAAAATTTTAAGTCCACTATTAGATTTACAGATTCTAAAAATAAGGTGGTACATTAAATAAAAACTTATAAAATCCTATTCATTTATAAATCTTAAATATATTTAAATTTACATACTTTTAAAATAATTTAATGACATATTTAGAATAAAATATAGTATAAGGAACTAGTATATGTGGTGGATTCAAATCTTATTTCAGTGGCGAGAAAGACAACTAAAGGAGCAGAAAGGTTAAAACAATTCATATGTGAAAATTGGAATAACTTTTTAATTGACTTATTTAGTGGTATGCTACTTGATCAAGGTGCCCTCTTCCAAATAGAACTAGTACTTGGCACCAAATTGGCAAGTTAGCCAATTTATTGTCCCAACACCAAATAAAATTGAAGAGTTGCAAAAGTCATTGGATGAATTCTTGAAAAAGTGCCTTATTCAAGAAAGCATATTATTACAGGAAGCACTTGTACTCTTTGTACCCAAATAAGATAGTAGACTTTGACTTTGCATTAATTATTGAGGCTTCAATAAGCAAACTGTCAAGAATGCATATTTACTTCTACATGTAGATGATCTTCTTAACCAACTTTAAGGTACAACCATCTTTAGCAAATTGGACCTTTGGAGTGGTTATTAAAAAATTCTTATTGCCAAAGAAGATATAAAAAGATGGCATTTTATACCCACTATGGACATTTTGAGTGGCTTGAATTATCTTTCAGTCTCACCAATGCTCCAACTTCTTTTATAGGTCACATGAACAGATTATTTTGGAACCTTTTGAATAAGTATGTTATTGTCTTTATTGATAATATCCTAATCTATAGTAAGATCTTTGAGAAATATGAGCAACAATTATAGGAAGTACTATACTAACTACATAATAGCCACTTTTATTATAAGTAATCAAAGTGTGAACTTTAGAAGTTGGAGGTCATCTTTTTGAGACATATAGTGTCCTCTAAAGGCATGCGCATGGAATAGGATAAAGTAAAAGTAGTAGAGGATTGGCCAACTTCCAAAGATGCTTTTGAAGTCTATTCATTTTTAGGCCTTGTTGGATATTATTGCCATTTTATTCAATGATTTTCACACATTGCTATCTTACTGATAAGCTTATTAAAGAAAGGTGCTCCATTTGAATAGAAACTGGAATAAAAAACGGCCTTTGAGGAGTTGAAGGAGGTACTTATTACTGCTCTAATATTGCAACCATACAATTCCGACCTTCCATTTACACTTGACATTGATGCTTCCAACTTTGCTATAGGCACGATTCTTTAACAAGATTTTAATATGGACCTTCAATCTGTGGTGTATGAATCATGCAAACTAAGAAGGAAAAAGTACAATTATTCTACATAAGTTCAAGAGCAAGTGGTAATTATACATGCTATAAAGGTATGGTGACACTATTTGTTGAGAAAGCTAGTAATTATTTAGACTGATCACCAATCCTTACTATATGATTTATATCTGAAAAATATGAAATGACGACATCATCATTAAGAAGAATAATTACAACTCTTTGACATCCAGCTTGAATATAAGTAAGGAAGACAATACACTATGCTAGATACCTCATGACATAGACTTAACTTAAAATCCGAATCAAAGGACTAAACAAAAGTTGCTACTATTAGTAGTGTCATTTCATACTTAATAAGAGAAGCAAAATGGAAAGAAGTTATATATTACAATGCTTATTTTAAGATGATTACTAATTGATTGAAGGTGGACAATGTATAATATTGAGATTATCACATTTATGATGGCTTACTTTACTTCAAAAAGTGGATTTATGTATCTGATGATGCTATATTTTAAACATTTATACTTTAAGAAGGACACAACATCCCAATATCTAGATATCTAGGATATAAGAAGATTCTAGAATAAATCTCAAGGACATGGTTTTGACCAGGTTTGAATCATGATTTTTGAGCCTTTGTGTGTTCTTGTGAATTATACCAACGTAATAAAGTACGCAATGTATCATCTCTTAAGCTATTGTAGTGAATTCTACTACCTATAGTACGTTGAGAATATATGAATATAGATCTTATTATGTGTTTGTTGCAGATGCCTTATAATCATAATATAGTTGCTATCTTTGTGGACCGATTTTTGAAACAACTTTACTTGGATGTAGCAAGCTTTCATATTAATGTTTTAGTACTTACACAAATCTTCTTCAACACTATCTTTTGTCACTATGGATTACTTCATGTCATTATTTTAGATCAAGATCTCTACTTCACAAAGAATTTTTGGCAAGTCTTCTTCAAGCTACTAGGGACACAACTTGCCATATCTAGAGCTTTCAATCTTCAAACATATAGACAAATAGAGCATATAAATTAAACTCTAGAAGATATACTATAGACATTTGTGACAGTTCATTATAATGACTATGATGAATATTTGAAACCTTTAGAATTTGCCTACAATGATAGTATTTAAGCAAGTACTTATCATTCATCATTCTTTTTTAATACTTGTCAGCATTCAATTATACTAGCAATCCTTCATTGTTCCATCGACACCAATAATCTGACAACAAAAAAATTTATACAATGGCTTATAAGAGCCTTGCCAGAGACACAATATTATTTCTTTACTAGATAGAATTGATAGAAGCAATATGTGGATAACCATCTGCTATACAAGACTTTCCAAGAGGGTGATTACGTATTACTTTTCAATACCAATCTTCCATTTGTTACATCAATTTAAGTCTGTAAATTAACACCTTGATGGCTTGGACCTTTCTACATTTCTATAGTAATTTTTGACATT